GTTTTTTTTGTTTTTCTTACTTTTTACTAGTGATGTTCGGGAGAAGAAAAAACTCGGGAAACGGGAGTCGGGTCGGGAAATGACCTCAGGAGTCGGGAATTTTCGATAAAAAAATTTAAAAAATTTTAGGCGCCTTCGGCGCCTAAAATTCTGATTTTTTCTTCGCAGGCGTGAATTTTAAGAATTTTTGAAGGTCAGAAAGCCAGAATTGTTCCATTTTTTGCGCCGCTCTCTTTCTCTATTCCCTTAATTAATTTTCAACATCTCTTAATCTTGATAATCATGGAGGTCAAGAAGCCAGATTTCATCCATTTTGGCCGCTTGGCAAAAAAAGCATTCTAAATTCCCAAAATTATCGCCTCGTCGCATCTGGTATTAAAATATTGCATCCATGGAAGGATATAGAGCTATTAGAAAGTGATTAAGGAGCATTGAATATAATGGAAGGGTCTTTTAAGAGGAGGGTATTGCTGAGACTGGCTAATCAAATTTTAAAGACCTCTTAATCTCACATCATTTGTCTGCGCCGCAGGCGAAATTTTTTTATGTTTGGCATGCTGAGGGGCCATATTTCTTTCATTTTCTGCGCCGCATGCGAAAATTTTCGAAAATTCATGACTAAATTAATTTTTCCAGTTTTCTCAAGTTTACTAGTATTAAAAAAATAAATTAACAATTTTAAAATTAAAATCAATGTTAAAAACATTTATTTTTAGAAGGAAAAATTATTTAACTCACATTTCCCAACCCCGGATTTGAACCAATCCCATAAAATATCACAGTGAATGAAGTCATCAACCTAACCACTTAACCATCACTCACCAACAGAGGTTTGGAATAAATGTTTAGATGTTTTTCCCCTTTTCCTTTTTCTTTTTTTATTTTCCCTTTCCCTTTTTTAATTTTTTTTGATTTTAAAAATAAAATTTTACCAGAAAAAGCCATTCTTAGGGGTGTAAAAATTTCCCGACTTAGTCGGGAATTGACATCGGAAGTCGGGATCTGGAGGCCAAAAACTCGGGAAATTTCCCGAGTCGGGATACCCGAACATCACTACTTTTTACGATCTAAGGAACGTCTAAAATGGCAGCCGAGTTAAATTAAGATTTTTTTTGTTTCCGCCTTATATTGAAGTCTTGGTCTTAATTTTGGTTATTGTGACATATAGGGTGTTTTTTGGCTAGAATGACTTGGTCGATTGAGGTGTCATTCGAAGGAGCTCGGTAAGCTCTGTCCAACTCTCAGAGGGCGAGTTACAGACCCCTGAAGATTGAAAAAGAGAAGGGGGAGTAAGCTCATTTTGTGGTGAAAAAAATGCGCTTACTTTGTGGCTCATTCGAAAGAGCACGTCGAGATGAGTCGAATGATACAAAATTTCTTTAAGTCGATGATTCTAAACAAAATTTCAAGGAATTGAACTTTCATTGAAATGGCTGTTTTGTGTCGCTACGAGGTGATAGATCTTCGTTTAAAGTTGAGAATTAGTAAAAAGGAACAGATTTAAGTAACTTGTGCAGAACCCAGCGGCCGTCGACCCGGAAAAGTAAAAGTAATCTTAATATTTTATTAAAAGTCCTGACACTCAGTTGGCCCCCTTTTATAAGGGGCTCTGTTGGCTCGGCTCTCAGTTTGTTACAACCGGAGGTGTCCGAGATTTAGCTGATGTTGACGTGCACAAGAATAACAATTTATCCGGTGTAGAAATAAACATTATAGGCGAATGTAGAAAGGACTTAGAACAGATGAAGGGAATCAGGGACTAGCCGCGCTAGTATGATTCAACTAGACTAACGCTTTCACTGGTTTTTATACTATAGCGATACCACTACACAACAGGTTGCCGCGGGTACAAAAAATTTTCGGGTACGGGTTTCGGGTTTGGCGAAAAATTCGGGTTATTTTCGGGTGTTCGGCTATTGGTGAACTAAATTGTAAGGAGGCAAGATATATTGCATAATAGGATTTTGGATGATATAGAGAGAAGCAAATTTGAAGAGATTAAAACAGGGCTCGGATTCGTACTTTATTTGAAAGTACAGTACTTTAAAATCGACCTCCGTACTTACGAAATTGAATTTGTACTTTATTGAAAGTATGTACTTTAAAATCAACATTTTGAAAAAAATGGAAGAAATCTGGCTTAAGGACCTCCAAAATTCTCAAAATTTTCGCCTGCGGCGCAAAAAATGGAAGAAATCTGGCTTAAGGACCTCCAAAATTCTCAAAATTTTCGCCTGCGGCGCAAAAAATGGAAGAAATCTGGCTTAAGGACCTCCAAAATTCTCAAAATTTTCGCCTGCGGCGCAAAAAATGGAAGAAATCTGGCTTAAGGACCTCCAAAATTCTCAAAATTTTCGCCTGCGGCGCAAAAAATGGAAGAAATCTGGCTTAAGGACCTCCAAAATTCTCAAAATTTTCGCCTGCGGCGCAAAAAATAGATTTTTTGGCGCCTTCGGCTCCACAAAAAAGTGCATTGAAATTCACAAAATGGTAAGTTGAAACAAGAAATTATTAGAAAAGATTAATTTAAGAGAGAAATATAAAAGATTTGAGCACGAATAAATGTTTTCTAATTTAATTTTGAGTGTACTTTAAATGTGGAAATTTTGCCCCTATGTACTTTAAAATCAAGATTTTTGTACTTTTTATTGGCATTTTGTCGATCCGAGCCCTGGATTAAAACATTGTGGGATTTGGGGATTAAGAGGGATATCTTGCTAAAATCCCACCTTGATAAAATCCCACTATGTGCTAATATCCCTCCGCCTTATCTCCATAAAAGCCTCCAAATTTCTCCCGTTTTTAGCGCCGCAGGCGAAAATTTTGAGAATTTTGAAGACAAAGACGCCAATTTTCTTCCATTTTTTGCGCCGCAGGCGAAAATTTTGAGAATTTTTTAAGGTCTTAGGTGAAAGAATTCAATTGTCAGAACCGCAGGCAAAAATTTTTATTTAAGTTTAATTGATCATGAACCTAGAACTCTTAATTTTATGCGCCGCAGGCGAAAATTTTGCAAAATTCATGACTAAATTAAAATTTTTAATTCACTTTCAAGCTTAAAATATTAAAAAAATAAATTTAAAAATCTAAAATGAAAATCAAAGTTTAAAGGCATTTATTTTTGAAAAGGAAAATTTTTTAGGCCTTATTTCCAGCCCTGGACTCGAACCCACCCCCAAAAATATCGAGCCAGTCGCCTTACACACTAAACCACCGATCAACATAATGAAAAATTAAAGAAATTATAAATATTTCTTTCCCTTTTCCTTCTTTCTCTTTCTATAAATTTATTTTAAAAAATCGGGTAAGGCTAAGTTTTCGGGTATAAATTTCGGGTTTTAACCAATTTCGGGTCACGGGTTTCGGGTTGGAAAAAATATCGGGTACGGGTTTCGGGTTGGAAAATTTTCAATTCGGGTATCGGGTTTCGGGTACAAAAAAAGGCCGGGTTTCGGGTTACGGGTTTCGGGCGGCAACCCTGCTACACAACACAGTTGCCCGCTCTCAGTTGGCGGCACTCACCTGGCCCGTTCCGCTTATTATTAGAGGTAGACGAGAGATAACGAATGTCTGTCGACTTTCGATTTCAAAGTCTTTGAACTTTTCAAATACGATATTCGTATTTTATCACAAACACTGCTAAAATACACACATTTTTTACGTCTCCTCCAATTTTCTTTTTCTTCATGCAACGATCAATCTAGCCAATATAAGCTAGAAAGCTTTTTGAATCATTTCCTCATTTCTTCCTCTAAATAAAAAATATTTAATAAAAAACATGCTTTTCCCATTGAAAATACTAAAAATAATTTTTTCTATTTATTTTTATTATTATTTTTTGGCCAACAGCCATTATATACTTTTCCTCATTTTCTTCCTCATTTCTTTAAATAACTAACACATATGTTGGGCATCTGGACATTTTCTCGGTTGAAAGTCTTCGTGTTTTGTTTATTAGTATTAAATGTGTTTTTTTGGATTAGTCTAATACTTTAGGGAAACATCATTAAAAACATTAGTTAAAACTTGAGACAATACAACAAATAAATTAATACAAAAACATTTGACATCAATGTTGAGATAAACATGTTTGTCTCTCATGTTTGTGTTTTAAAACTTTTTAAGTTTGTGTTTTTGTGTTTTCAAGTTTGTTCAAGTTTGCATTCTTGAAAACAAGTTTATTTTAAGTTTATTTTATTTTTTCAAGTTTATATTTTTATGTTTTTAAGTTTGTTTTGTATTCAAGTTTGTGTTTTTAAGTTTTTAGTTGCTTCAAGTTTATAAGTTTTTAATATGTTTTTAATTTTGCTTCACATTTTAAGTTTATTATTTTTGCTAGTTTTTGTTTATTTTTAAATATTTTAAGAATTTAATTTTTTTCTAGTTTAATGTCATTTTCTTTTTCTCGAATATTTTTACAATTTATTTATTTAAATCCAATCGAGAATCATATTTTTATTTTCTCCACTTTTCACTTTTTTCATTTACAAATATATTTAATTCTTTTTAAAATAAATGTTAAATCGACAACACAGCAAAAAAAAGGGCCAATCACAACATACAAATACAACAAAAACATAAATGTTTGGTGATGAGTCGTATGGGAATGGGCTTTATGTTTAAACACATTTTTATTTTTTTTTGTTTATTTTCGTCGATTTTTTAAAAGGTTGAAATATTAAAAATAATTTTTAAGTGTATCAATATTTTAGAAAATTTATTTAGAATCTTCTTCAATACTATAGACATTTTATTTAATTTTTCTTTAACTCTTTTTGGACAAAAACATTGTGTGGAAGTAGTTTTGCTTTTAATTATTTAATGCACATTTATTAATATCAAAAACATTGTAAAAAACATTTTTTAATAAAATAAGCATAGAAACAAAAATGGTAAAACACAAACATAAAAGATTTAAAGAAATAAACTTGTTTTTGCCTATTAATTCTACTATTAAAATACACAACAAACAACTCCCCCTTATGTTTTAATTGTTCTGAATGTTTTTGTTTATTTTTCATCAAGTTTTAAACAAAGTTTATTTTGTTTATTTTCAAGTTTTACTTAATGTTGGTTGTTTTCAAGTTTTTTTTATTTGTTTATGTTTAGGTTTTGTTGTTCAAGTTTTGTTTGTTTTCCCAAGTTTGTTTTCTAATGTTTATTTTCAAGTTTATTTTCTTCATGTTTTGATCCAAGTTTGTTTTCATGTTTTGTTCAACAATTTTCTTCTTTATTTTCCATAAAAACATGTTTCAATCATTAAATCATTTTCTAGCTTCTATGCAAAAAAGTTTATTATTGTGTCGCTGATTTCGCTAGCAACTAATCAACCTTCGCGCTATTTTGTTGAATTGCGGAGTGGATAAGCCTTTATCGGAAACATTGCAAAGTCGTAAAGCCAGCCGAGTGGACAATTTGTCTTTTCCTCTCATTATTTTAGTTATTTGTTACAATTCAATAGATTCTTTCGGAGAAAGGCTTAAGAGACCCTTTGAATGGAAAAAAGAGCAAAAAAAGGGGGGTAATCACATTTTTGTTTGCGGTTTTCCAATCAAGCAAAAAAAACGCTAGCTAAATAATATTTAGATATATTTACAATAATGCTAACTCTTCTCTCTTTATTTAATTTATTTGATTCACCAACTAATTTGTAAAAGTTTCAAGTTTTTATATTTGTTTCAGTCTACATAGCTAATAATTAAAGTTTATTTTTAACGTGTTTATTTCAAGTTTATTTTAATGTTTTGTTTCAAGTTGTTTTTAAATGTTTGTTCAAATTTTGTTATGTTTGTTTTAAAGTTTATTTAGATGTTTATTTTAAGTTTATTTTGATGTTCATTTCAATGTTTAGTTCATTTACATGTTTATCTTGATGTTTTTTGAAGTTTGTCTTAATGTTTATTTTCAAGTTTATTTAAAGTTTGTTTTCAAGTTTGTTTTATATTTATTTTAAAGTTTTTATTTGTGTGTTTTTGAGATTATTTCAAGTTTGTGAAATAAACAAGTTCGTAAACTTATTTCAAGTTTTAACAAGTTTATTTATTTATTGTATTAAATACATCTACTTCCTCTATATTAAAACAAAGTTTATTTTTTTAAATGTTTTGTTTGGAATTTTTAAACAAAAACACATTATTATTGATCTACGTGTGTAATATTTATTATACATTTTTTCCATTATTTAAGTATCCATCACAAGTTATTTATTTTCATATCCCAGCCATAATTTTCTTTCTTTTCATTAGTGCGCGGGTCATCTCGAGAAGATGATTAGACGGGAGTTAATGAAAAGGATGGTAAAGGGGAGAATTTTAAGGAAGGATTTTAGAGAGAATTTAGGGGGTTTAGAGGAGAGGGAGGGAGAGTAATTGAAGCTGGGGGGAGAATTGCAAAAGATGACCATCATTAATACAAAATTAATTTTAAAAAGGAAAAGTTAAATATGTGGGGATCTTTGTTTCAGGGAGAATAAAAGTGAAATAACCCCGAAGGATTTGATTTTTGTTCTCTTTCTTTAAATTTTCTCCTCATTTTCACCAACCATCTTTTTTTTATTTCCTCAAAGTTCGCGCATTAATTATTTCTTTGTTTATTCGTTATTTTCCCAAACCAATTAATTTTTAAAAATTTAATTTTCTATTTAATCACTTTTGTCTTTTTTTCACCTACAAATCAAAGAATTAAATGACGATAACAATTTTTATTACAAAAATTGTGTAAAATAGTAGTTTCTCTTAATTAAATCTAAATCCTTTTAATTACGCGTACTTGTTTTTAGTCAGCAATAAAAGCAAAATAAGAATTTTACAATTTAATGAAAAAAGTATTTACGTATTTCTATTTTATTTGTATTTAAACATACTGCTTGTTGTTGATTACAATCGATTAAATTTTATTTAAACTTAAAAACTTTAAGTTTGCAAACTTTTTTTTTAAAGTTTATTCAAGTTTATGAAATTATTTCAAGTTTATTTATTATATTCAAGTTTATTTATTTTATTCAAGTTTATAAACTTAAAACTTTAAGTTTGCAAACATTCCTTAGCTAATTTAAGTTTATTTAATTTATTCAAGTTTATTTTTTAATAATTCAAGTTTAAACTTGAATCATTCAAGTTAATGAATTTTAAATTATATAATCTTCGTTTATTTTATTCAAGTTCAATCTTAAATAATCAGCTTTATTAGGTTTACTGACCATTTATTATAATAGTGTTTCAGGCTTTAAGTTCAAGTTTATTTTTCAAATTACGTTCCAAGTTTATTAATCTTATAATTCACTTTTATCATATTCGCTTCAAGTAAAACTTTAGATTTCAAACTTCCTTTTTTCTTTTCGCTTATGCTTCAACCTACAATCTTGCAACAATTTTTTAATTTTAAACTTTAAATTCCCCAATTTTTCGTTTCACCGCACACTTTTTTGTGTTTTAGTTTATCTCTACTTAACTTTTATTTTTCCCCTCTAAACCTAAAAATTCACCGACCTGTATTTACCCTTTGTGTTTAGCGGTTGCTCGTCCTTGAATTCCTCTACACACGGGTTTAACGACTGATGCGCACCCAAGATTTTCTTTTAACTAATAAATTAAATAATATAGTTTTTTCCTTCTTTTCCGGTCTTTTTATTTTTATCTTTTAATTTTTTCAATAGAAAATTTTTTAATTAAAAAAATTTTTTCAAAAAAAAATTTATTTTACTTAATTTTTAAAAGTTTCAAGTTTATTTATTTTATTCAAGTTTATTTTTTTATAATTCAAGTTTATTTAATTTTTTAAAGTTTACTCTTAAAGTTTTAAGTTTTACATTTATTTTGCTTCAGGTTTATTTCCAATTAATTTTTGAAGCTTCAAGTTTATTTATTTTATTTCATACATATATAAATTATGTGTTTCAAGTTTATTTAAATGTTTTAAGTTTTCTCTTAAGTTTTAAGTTTTTATTTATATTTTTTGTTTCAAGTTTATTTTCAACTTTATTTATTTCAAGTTTTATTATACATAATATATTTAAGCTTTATATTATCTATTTTGTGTCTGTCGAATTTTAAAAAAATTTTCAAAAAAAAATAATTTTCAATTTTACTTAAAAATTATTACTGATTTTTTTCTTTTTTTTCTCCTTTAGATTTTTCCTTTTCTAAATCCAATTTCATTTATTTTTTCTTCCCCCAAAAACCTCCAAACCATAAGCTGCGCACACAAATATTTTATTTATTTATGCTATATTAAGTCCAGCACACGCATAAAAATAAATAAATAAAATAGCTGCAATTTGTTATAGGTAAATTGTAACCGCGCTGGTTTTATGTCTTTTTTTATAAAATATAAATATTTTTTTATTTATTTATTTTCTTTTGCGCATCTTCTGTGATGGTGGTCATTTCCTCTATTTTATTTAAATAATAAATTAAATGGGGAAATATTTTTGGCGTTTTTACTGTGTTAATTTTTGCTTCAAGTTGGAAACTTCCATTATTTTTATTTACTTTTGCTTCAAGTTTTCTAAAAATTACGTAAAGCATATAGCTATTTAATTCCTAAGGCTGCAGTAGGCGGCGTGATGTAATGGCTAACACATCGGTCCAGTCTACTGAAGATGCTGGTTCGCTCCCAGCCACCAATTAACCTTTTGCCCTAGCTAAAAAAGAGAATAGCTATAGCCCAGCTGTTTTACTATTAATTGTAATTGTTTCAAGTTTATTTTAAAATAATTTGTAAAAGTTTCAAGTTTATTAAAATCAAGTTTATTTTTCTTTGCTTCAAGTTTATTTTTCTGTTTCAAGTTCAAGCTTATTTTAAATATTATTCTTATCTACTTAAGTTTCTAAGTTTCAAGTTTATTTAAGTTGTATTTTTGCCTTATTTTCTCTTATATATTTTTAATTTATTTTTGCTTCCATTATAAAATAAATAAATTATAATTAAATTAAGGAAAGATTTTTAAAAAATTTTTAGTTTTCTGTTAATCTCGTTTAAGAAGAATTTTAAATAAAAAATTTTAATTTTATTATTAGATATTTTCTTCAAAAATTTTTTTTCTTTGGCGGACCTACAAATTGAATGATAAAAACATTTTTAGATTAATTTGTGTTGAAAACACCAAGCAGAAACCAGTCCCTTTAAATATTACAAAGACTTCTTCCCCCCCCCCCCCCCCCCCCCCCCCTTTAATACTCTTTTATAACCACAAAATTGATTGCGCGATGTTTAATATATAAAAATATTTTTATTACAAAATAATGTGTCCGGCACTAGTTAGCCACACACACACGCAGAAAAAAAATTAAAAAAATTATTTTCGTCTTCAATCAATTTTCCCATCGATCAGTGATTTTGTGGTGTGGGCAAATATTTATATAACTTGACTAATATTTTTTCATTAATTTTTTTATTAAAAAGTTATATGGGTGTTCTACACATTTAATTAAATTATATAATGTTTTTAATTTTAACCAAAACTTTCACAAATTTAAAAAAATAAACTTGAATTTATTTTTTAAATATTTCAAGTTTATTTATCGTTTGTAATCCCAGTTTACTTACAATTTGCAATTTAAAGTTTATTTCTTAAACTTGAAAATTGCGATCTTAATTTATTTTTTATTACGCTTACAAGTTAGCCTACTTTTCAAGTTTCTGATTTTTTACAATTGTAAAATATCGACGATAAACACAAAATATAGTAAATAATTTAATTAGGGGGCCCAGCCTAATTAAAGAGAGAAGATGTTGATGGAAACACGTGCGGTGAATAAATGCCAGAGGCAGCGCAAGCAAGCGGGGTGAATGATTGTTGGTATACCACTTGGTCAGGCTCTAGGCCGACCGAACACTAGGCCATTGATTGAATAGGAACTAAGTTGGAATGATCGTCAACTAAGCCGCTTTTCCTTACTTTCCTTTAGCTTAAATGCACCTTCTCTCTAGGCGGGGTTTTTATTATTTTCTCAAGGATTACACCTTTAAGCCTTACACCTCCTAACCCACGGAAGACCGACCCTGGTCTTTTTAATTTGGATTTTTACAAATTTTAATTTATTTTAATTTATTTTTCTACCTCTCCTGCAGTTCCTCACCACTCTCAACTCCTTCTGCAGTCTGTTGTCAAATGCCCAAAGCCTCCACATCGCATGCATTTTCTTCCTCCCCTTCCTTGTTGTCCTTTCTGTTGTCGGGGTTCTGCCATTGCTGCCTGTATTGTCCAACCTCTTTTGTCTTGTAGTATTCCACCTGCACCTCTTGACGGATTCTCAATCTCCATTAGATCCAAATATTTTTCTCCAACTATAGGTGTGTGCCTGCTTGCCTCTTCAATAAATCGGCGCCACACTTCTCCTTCACTAATGGCGCTAAAATCAGCAATAACTGCCATCCCATGCTGTGCGCGGGAAATTGATACCGTTGCGCGACCGCTGTCTTTTAAGAATGCTGAAGTCCTCTGTAGAATTTGTTCGCGTCGTTACCAATACAATTAGCTTTTTCTCCTGAGCTTGAAATGCATCCGTAGTATGTATCGGTACATTTAATCCTACTTCCTTCAAACTTTGTTTTAGCCTTTCTGCCTGGAAAGAATATAAACATATGACGACTGTGCTGCCAGGATCCCTTTTTTCAAATGCTTCAACAATTTTCCGCGCTGCGATAGTTTGTTCAGGGTTTTCAATGCTGAAGGAGGCAGGATCAATTTCTGTATGCCCACAAATATTTAAGAGAATTAGTGGGATGTCCGACACCGGAAGATTTATTCCCAAATCAGTAAGTCCTCTTCTTTCTGTGGGTGCAATTGCAGGGATTACTCTCTCATTATGCTGTCTGTATGAAGCATAGTCGAAACATTCTACCAGAGTTGGGTGCGCCCTATAGCAATAAATAAGAGTAGTTGTAGAGATACGAGGACAGTGCTGAATTTGCGTGGTTAACGATTCAAGCCCAAATCCTTCATGAATTATGTCCGGGAGATCATTCAGATGTGTGCCTATTTGACGTCTGTCCCCCGTGAGGAGGACAGACGCCACATTCGGCATTTGGCATAGGAGATGAACCATTGAGGTAAACGAAACCTGGGTGACTTCATCCACCACTAGGTGCGTTGTTTTAACGTGGGCCCCCGGTATGCTTAGTGCCATGTGAATTGTAGCAAAAACGACGTTTCTAAATTCAGTTTTTTGAAGAACCGCTCCTACTTTTCGTTCTGCTGCTTGCTTTGGATGTCTCTCAATTTTTTCTAAGTAAATTTTAACATCTCTAGCTTGTCCTGGCTCTAGTTTGTTTTGATACCCTTCTTTATTTATTTTGGTAGCCAAAAGGTGATTTTCAAGTAATGCTATGTGTTCGCTGTAGCGTACTTTTGCCATACCACTAAAGAATGCAATCATGTCTTGATCGGGAAGGGTGCGGGCCGCCTCTTCTGTCAATTTACTAACGGGCAAATTTGATCCTGATGTTGCCAAAACAGCACAGTCAGGATCTTGGTGAACAATCGCCGCTATGCAGGCCGCAGCAACCCTGGTTTTCCCGGTACCGGGCGGGGCTTGTTGAAAGTGCACCCGCCCGGCACCTTCGTTTAACCAGTTCTCTATGGTTTCCTGCTGCTGGTCGTTTAGCTGTTGGCGCCATTCTAATTTAGATTCAGCAGATTTGCCTCCCTTGACCTTTTCGTCAGACCCTTGACGGGCAAAGATAGACTTAAGGATTTCAGCTCTTTTGGACTCTTCTCTCTCCATTATTTGTGAGGCCAAATGGAATCCCAGCGTTTCAGATTGTGCTCTTAAACCACCTCCCCCCTCTGATGTTATTATTATTATGTCTTCGCCTTGGATCATCGCTTCAAAGTCGTCTTCTTGTTCAGCTTCTAAGTGCGGAATAAGGAATATGTCTATTTCAATAACAATCACATTGTCTTCTGTGCATTTCTTCATTATTTCCTTAATTACTCCCTGCGCAAATGCTTTAGATCCGTAATTCATTTTTGCGGATATAGCTGTGTCTTTGGTCCATACATCACAAACTTTTTTGCTAAAGCTTCTGTCAGTTGTTTCAAAAGCTATATAGAAATTTCTTCTTTCCTCTTTTGTACGTAAACCTAACGTGCCCTGGAATAAAGTTTCAATTCTAGCCATTTCGTCAATTTCACTAGCAACAATGAGAGCTGCTGCCATAATGTTTTCCGCGAAATCAATTTCTTCATTTGTGTATTCTGGTGTTATGGGAAAGAATGTTGGTTGGCCATTTGGGGTTTTAAATCTCCACTCTTCTTTATGCAATGAGGCTACTCCAAGAACATGAGCATTACCTCCTGCTACCATTTCTGTACCGTGCCTAAGGTATGAGCCTGGAGGGAGTATATATCCAGCTGCTATGAGCCAACCTTCAGGGATGTGAGCCAACTGTAAGTCAATTAGTTGACCTCTTTTAAGTTCCGACAACTCAAAGTCTAAACATTGTCTGGTGGTTAAAGTGGCTCCCCTTTCTAATCCAAACGCTATTACTCTTGCTGACCCTATTGATTTTGGTCCTGAGCCTTCTTTCTTCCTTCTTTTCAAGTCAAAAGTGAACCCTGTGTTCTTGATCCACGGGGCTAGTTGTGTTTCAATAACTTCTGTGGCAGTAGCTTGGAAATTGATTCGACTTTGGTACATCCAAGTGTCCATTTCTAAGTGTTTTCGATTTTCTATCCATTCAAATTCTGTGATATAAACACTGTCTCCTAGATATAGTGGTCTTTCAGATTCTATTTCTAACGAGTCCGGAATTTCAATAAAGAAGGGCCAGTTATTGACTTCATTTGGACTTGGAGCTACTGCAATTAAACGTTTTTCCTGAACTTGTGCTATTACAAATCTTTTCCCTTTACTTGGTTCTTTTCTATCTTTTTTAGCGGAAGTCACAACATTAAAAGTTTCTTTTAATTTTTCTTTATTTTTCTTCTTCTTTTCTACAATTTTAAATCCTTCATTTTCAAATTTTGGGGCTTGTGAGCTCCCAGGACCGCTTTCCCATGTCTTTTTGGTTCCCCATTCATCAACTTCCATTTCTTCATCAAGTAGAAGTTTTTCCATGCTTTCAGTAACTTGTTTATGAGTCATTTCTTTCTCTTCTTCAGTTTCTTCTAAAAGCTTTTCTACATCAGTATCTTCTTTTCTTTTTCTATTTAATGCCGGAGCACTGAAATTTTGTTTGTTTGATGCCGAAGCACTGATGTTTGATTGTTTACTTGATTCTTTATTTAATGCCGAAGCACTAAGATTAGATTGTTTGTTTAATGCCGAAGCACTAATATTTGATTGTTTGTTTAATGCCGAAGCACTAATGTTGTCAGTGACACCAGGAATTTCTGTGAAAAAGCCACGGCCTTTTCTACGAATAGTATTTTCTTGAGAATTATTTTCTGTCATCTAAAAAAAATTGAAAATTAATTTAAAATGATTTAAAAATATGTATGGGATAGGCTATACGCGAAATTTAAAAAAATTGATAAAATTTGGGGAATTTTGTGTGTGGGAGGGAAAAATTGTAAGATTTTAAATATGGTGAGTTTATTTTGTAAAGTACCAGAAGTGTATATTTTTTTTGTTTTACTCGTTTACCCTGGTTGATTAGTCTATTGATAATTTTCGGGGCTTGGGATTTACTCTGAGATTATATCCTTTTTGTATTGTGGGTGATATTTTATCTTTATTTTTGCCTGGACTTGGCTCCCTTACCTCCTTTTCTTTGTTTTTGGGATTTTCATGACCTTGACCTGTGTGCTTTTCATTTTCTTTTCCCTCCTTTTCGGCTTTATTTAGACTTTCTATTTCTTCATCAAGTAAATTGGGACTTGTACACGCTGGTGGCAGATCTTCAAAGCACTTCTTTAATTGATTAATATGGACTATTCTAGTGGGTGCATTCGGTGAGTTACAGCTACTTATAGTTACATGTGGACTTTCTATTTTTATTGCCCTGAAAACTCCTTTCCATGGCATGTGGAACTTTTTTGAAGTCCCAACTCTCCCGGCATAATTTCTTAGAAGTACTCTATCCCCTACAGTTATGGTGGGGTTCCTTAGCAATTTATCGTATTGTTCCTTAGACTTTAGTTGGGCTTTCTTATTTTCATCTGCTGCTATTTCCCAAGCTTTTCTTAGCGATGTGACTAGCTTTTGCTTAAATTCTGACATGTCATTGGTTACCATAGAATTTACTGATGGGTCAAGGATTTGGTCTATGCAAAATATCGGATCTCTGCCAAACATCAAGAAAAAGGGTGTTTCCCCAGTGGATGAGTGAATAGAAGTGTTATAGCAGAAACTCGCATAGTCTATGAGTTCATCAAAGTCGGGTTGGTCTTTACTTATATATTTGGAAATAATATTATGAAAGGTTCTAAAAGACCTTTCAGTGACTGAATTTCCCTGTGACCAGTGAGGGTTTGCATAACTTTTATTTATATATAACATTGAGCAGAAATCTCTGAAAAATTCACTCGTAAATGCAGAAGCATTGTCTGTTATGAGTTCTATACATCCCCCAAATTTCAAATAACAATTTGTGAGAAATGCGCGAGCTAAAGTTATCGCTTTCGTGTCAGGAACTGGTATTGCTATTACATATTTCGTAAACCAACAAATAATATTCATTAAGTGTTTGTTGCCTTTTTGGGTTGTTGGAAAAGGTCCTGCCAAATCTAGTCCAACTTTCGCAAATAAAGTATTAGACGGGACCATGTGCATTTCAGCCCTATAGGGTGGATTGGGTGAATGTCTTAGTTGGCAAGTTATGCAGTTGCGTGTCCATCTTAATATGTCAGAGTGCATTCGTGGCCAGTAATACTTTCTAGATTTTTTAAGTGTTTTCTTTAAGTCCATGTGCCCTCCTCCAAGTTGGGACGAGTGAAAAGAGTCAAAGATAAGTGCCCTAAGGGACGCTGGTATAAAAAGACGAGGTTTTAGACCCTGAGTTCTTTGATAAAGTATTCCATTGGACAATTCCAGGTTTGCTGCTATTATTGTAAAATTTTCCTGTTCTAGTGGAGGAATTTCCTTTGGGATTTCCCCGGATGTGAGAAATTGAATAAATGTTGATGATTCGAGGTCGTCTGCTTGTTCAGATTTAATATCAATCGCATATCTTTGACCATCCTGTCGTTTCAGTGTTACCCTTGGAATGTGGTCTTCTATGTTAAGGATTTCTTTTTCTTGTAGGTTAAGGCATACTGGGAATTCTGCAATGTCTTGGAGTTCTTCGCTGTTTTCATTATCTTTGCCTGCGAGTGCGGGATTTCTTGAGAGTGCGTCAGCTAGTAAGTTTTCTTTTCCAGATACATGTACGATTTTAATATTATAATTTTGAAGTTCGATGAGCCACCTAGCTAAATTCGGATGCGCTTCAGCTTTTTCCATAAGGTATGCTAGTGGTTTGTGGTCCGTGTGTAATTCAACTTCGGTCATGTAAATAAATGGACGAAATTGTCTTAGTGCATAAATTATCGCGCCTAGTTCAATCTGTACCGGAGGCCATTTGCGTTCGGAGTTTGATAAAGTTCTGCTGCAGTACGCAATTGCTTTAAAAATATTTTTCTCGCAGTCTTTTTGCATTAGAGCCCCTCCTTGCCCTGTTTGTGACGCGTCTGTGAATACATGAAATGGTTTATTGTAATCTGGAAAGACTAGAACCGGTTCACTACTTAAAATCTTTAACTTTTTCAAATGCTTTCTGCTGTTCTTCTTCCCATTTAAATGTGGTTTCTTTTCTCGTTAGCCTAGTCAAAGGTTCAACAATCATTGAAAAATTTGGTATATGCTTTCTAAAAAATGAGGCCATTCCTACGCAGTGCCTTACTTCCTTCAGGTTTGTGGGAGCAGGTAGGTTTGTGATTGTTTCAACTTTACTTAAACTAGGTGAATATCCTGATGAATTTATAGTGTGCCCTAAGAAATTCATTTGAGTCGATGCTAGTATACATTTCTTGGGGCTCACTTTGAGATAATATTTTCTAAGTCTATCAAAAACTTGTCTAAGTGCCTTGAGGTGTTTATCAAATTCAGGATCTTTTGTGAACACTAAAAAGTCGTCCACATATGCTATAACGCTGTCTTCTAGCCCGCTAATTACGTGAGCCATTACTCTAGCAAAAGCGCTTGTAGCATTTTTTAGCCCAAAAGGCATATGAGTCATTTGGTAAATTTCATTTTCGGTAATGAGTCCGCATTTGCGCGAAGCTCGTTCAGTGAGTCTGATTTGTAAATAGCCGCTAGAGAGATCTAAGAGCGAATAAAAGTTGCAGCTTCCTACTTTTTCCATTATTGTTTCAAATCTAGGTAGTGGGAAGTGATCCGGGACCGTTATCTCGTTGAGCTTTCTAAAATCAATACACGGTCTTAATCCCCCGTCCTTTTTCTGTACTAGAACAATGTTTGATACCCACGGTGTATCTGATTTAATCATTACTCCAGACTTGAGTAGTTTGTCTATATGGTCATGAAATTCGTCTTGGTACTTGAAAGGTACCCTATGAGGCCTAGTAGAGATTGGTTCCTCTGTCGTAGTAATTATGTCGTGCTCTCCTACTAGACATGAACCTAAATCGTATTGGCTTTTACTAAAATGTCTGAAAATTCATCGCAGAGTTCTTTTAGTCTCATAAGGTCATACCCTTTTACTGAACTTTTTGAAAAATCAATTACAAAATTTGGGTCTATATCTAAAGAGTTGACTAAGTTTTCTATGTCATGTATTATGCTGGGTTGGCTTAGTTTAATTTTGTCAGTTTCAATGAGCCACGGTCCTTCCTTACTTTCCCTGAGTTCACTTGCGTATGCTATGTGCATTCCTTTACAGATATGTTTGGGTGCGTTTGTCGGATTTGTTATTAACAGGCTTGCTATTTTATCTGATGCATCGAAAACTGTGCTAATAAGACCTAAGTTGTCCTCAGTTAAGCGTTCATCTAATGAATGTGAAATCGCGTGCTCAAAATTCAACGTAGTTTCTAGTTTCGCATTAATAACTTTATTAGAGCCCGGAGGTATTGTTGTGGGTTCCAAGGTTGCTATTCTAACATCAGTTACTAGTGGTAAATTTTCCGTCCCTAAATTTAGAAATTTATCTCCAATCCAGATTTTTCTATTAGTAAAGTCAAATGTGACATTTGGCAATGTTTTCAATAAGTCACATCCTAATATAAATTGGTAGTTGCGTTTCTCAAGTAATTGTTTGTCCTCTACTAAATTAATGTTTGCGGTCTGTTTGTGTCCACCTAAATCCAAAAATACTTGCATTTGTGCGTTCGCTGAAATCTCATGTCCTGAGGCAGAAGTTATGCTTATGCTTGTGGGTTCGATGTTTGCATTTAAAAATTTGGCGAGTGATAGAGGAGCGATAGAGATGCTTGCCCCAGTGTCTACTAAACAATTTATTGGTTGATTATTTATTTTAATTCTTGTTACTGCAGTACTTGGGTAAGTAAAGTTTATTTGGTTGTTTGAGGCCGAAGCCCTAAATTTTGGTAGAGGATCTACGGTTAGCATATTTATGACCTCTTGACTTGTGTCTGGACTCGGAAATCTAGAAACTTTAGGAATCCATGACTTAGGTTCAGGTTTAACTTCGTTCACTTTTTCTTTCTGTGGATTTTGTTCTACAAATTTTTGAACTTGATTAACAGTGGGAGTAGTCCTACTAAATAACATTCTTCCTAATTGTCCTTCACCTAAATAAACTTCTAAAATCTTCAGTCCCCACCTGATTGCTAGGTCAAGGGTTAGAATTGATATAAAGATGGTTACTATTATTTTCCAAGCCCAAGTGTAATCCCCAATTATTTCTTTTGTCAGACTGTCACCAGCTTCTTTCCACTGTTCAGATAAAGTTTTAGTAATAACCATGTCCTTATTTTCAAGTCTGTAGGAAAGTTCACTTACTTTAACCAAATTAGTCATGAATGTGTGCGTGTTAAGATCTGTTAAGTTCACTAGAATTAGTTGGTGAAAGGAATGGGCCTTAATTTCTGGTATATCAAATGCCCTTAGTTCCTTGATTTTCATTGCCCTAGGAAGGAGCTTGGTTACTTCCCCAGTAATTTGGTCAATCTCAATAACGTTATTGTCTAGTTCCAAAGTTATTCTTTGAAACTGAGTACAGGGTGCTTTTCTTGAAGTTGGCTGAATTATCATTGTTGTTGGATCTAGGAAAGCAAGATGTTTTTGTTTTTCAGTTGTTAGCTGAATTGGTATGAGTTCAAAACATTCATTTAAGTGAGTGGGTACAAAGCTAAATTCATCTTCATTAATTTTAATACATGGCCAAATTCGTAGTAGTGAAGAGCCTTCTCGTTTGGCCACTACATAGTCATTTCCAAAAATTATTCTGGCAAGTCCAATAGGATTAGACACAAGAGAATTTAGTGCCCATCTTTTAACTTCTTCTAAATGATCACATACTGCCTTGAGGGAATGAGTAAATGTGAATGTTAGTGTTTCAGCTAATTGTGTGTCTAAGTAAGTGAGTTCAGCTGCCAACTGCGGTGATGTTACTATTCCTAATTTTTCTTCATTTAAACTTCTTTTCTGTCTTGTCGCTTTAATACTTGTAGCAAGTCCTTGCTCTGATACTTCTAATTCATTACCACAGTCCTTTAATTTATGAGGCGGCTTGCTAAAGTGAAGTGCTAGTTGAGCGTCGTCTGAGAGCCAGGTGTTGTCTAAAAGTTTCCCTTCGAACTCCCCAAATTTAATATATCTACAAAATTGATTTTTGTTTGGAACCCATTTTAGCACTGTCTTATCGTTTAATATACAATTCCCTTGTGAATATGAACAATTATTTGTACCCCCTAGAGGAGTCCTAATTACAGGTTCACCCCAGTGAGAATTTATTTGAACATTAAATAATAAGCAATTTTGAGATGATACTTCTGTCCACCAAAAGGAGCCTAAAAGCCACATTTTTGGACTTATATCTAATTTATTCTGTGTTGTCCAAACTTCATTTTCCTTAATCATTGAGCCTAAACTGCAGCGTTTTTCCTTAATCATACGCGCACATTCATCTTTAGATACACTTAACATTTCCGATCCTATTGGTTCAGTCACTGGTACATTTGAGAGAGACGTAAATTTTCTTACTGATTTCTTAATTATTCTACATGCCCAACCTTCAGTACTATATTCTAAATCATTTAATATGTATATGGACCTAGTCTGCGGTATGGGTGTGTGCGAGACATTATTTATAAGTGACGGGCAATGCGTAAGTTGCGGTAAAGTCCAAAGTGTAGATTGTTTCTCCATTTGACAGATCATTGGCATTCTAGGTGTTGGCACGCTAAAGGTTGCGCTACAAGACGCTATTAGTGCAATAATCATTAACATTGGGAATAATTTTGGTCCCAACGATTTAGATTCCCAGGAGGAGATTTTAATTTTACTAGAGTCCCTGTTGCTATTGGCAATATTTTCTTTTATTTTCTCTTGTTTGTGGTCCCCAATTTCGATGGAGTTCAAATTTTGCTGCGAAGTGCTAGTTATGTTTTGCGACCCTGCTTGAAGATTACGTATCCCCGTTAATATTTCTTTTAAAATTGTGTCACTGTACCTTTCTTCATAGCGTTGGTTTGAGGAACTTTGTGTCATGTTTGAATTTCCTTTCTGTTTGTCTATATACTCAGCCATCCTTGTTCGACAGGTACTTGCGAAGTGTCCGACCTTTTGACAGTAATTGCATACAGGTCTGTTGTTCCAACGTCGTTCATTAAATGGAGCTCCCATTGATTGTCCGCGGCGATCATTTCTCTGAAAATTTCTAAAATTATTTTGGTTTCTTGAGTATCCGTTTGAATTGTACCTCCAGCCATTGCGAGGTTGTTCTCTGTTTGGATTTGTATGATTTAAGGATTGAAACTTACCTGGTTGAATCATGTAACTTGATTGTAGTTGTTGCATAGCATTGAGTTCTGGGTGTGCCTGAGGCATAGGAGTAGTTCCATTCACACTTGGTAACATTATTTCAACTTCTCTGGCATCCATACACAATTGTTCAAAGCTTCTGCCATTTTGCGTGAAATTCAGAAGTTTCATATAAAATGAGATGCTGGGTTTAAGTCGTTCAAGTAATAATTCGCATAAGTGTCGTTCAAGTGCGGGTCCTTCGTAGTCTGTTGCTGTAGCTAATGCTATTGGTCGGAATCGTGAAAGAAAATCTTTGACTGTTTCATTTTCATGTTGTCTACAGAATGAGAGAGCTTGCCTAGAGAGTACACGTCTTTGAGGTGAATCCAATTCCTTTCGTATGGCCTTTATTGCTTCTTGACATGTCGTTCGATCTGCGGGATTAATTTTCTCTAGAATTTGTTTGGGAGTATCCTCTAAGAAAAGCGAAAGTCGATTAAGCTTTTCCTCTTCTGAAAGTTTTGCCCCAAATACTTTAATTCGTTCTAAAAATTTCTTACTCCATTTGTCAAACGTTACCAAATTGTCTTCAGAATAAATTTCCAAAGGTGGTATTCCTTCGTGATGTAACATGTTAACTGTGTGTTCTGAAATCTGATCTTTCTTGTCATTAATTGAGCTATTGTTACTAGATTTTTCCCCAGAAAAGCTTAGTATGCAATTATTGGGTGAGCTTTGTGGTTTCCTTCTAAATGATTTATTTATAGGAGACAGGGACCTTGACTTTTCTTTACTTCGGGACTCAATTCTTTCCGCACAACTTTCTATTTGTGTTCCCAGGGTGGCAAAACCGTTATTTACTTCATCTGCAAGTTTGCTTACATTTGTGGAATTTTGATTAACTTTGCGATTTATGACTCGGAGAGATCTATTAAAACCTTCTTCCAACCTAACTGTATCACTGTGAACTTTCTCTAAGTCTGACATTTTAGCTTGGTTACTCGGTATTTTCCCTGACATTAATAGCTTATCTACTACATTGATAGAAATATCTTCAGCCGGAGCTGAGGAAATTGTTTGGTTAGTTGATGCCGAAGCACTAAGGTGGCTAGCTTGTGCAGAGGCACTTGCTATATTGGGAGGCTGCATAAGCTCTCAAGAGAATAACGTAGTTTTGTTTGTTTTCAATAATATAATAATTATAAATGACGATTTGAGAGAAGGGATAGTGCCTTATATATTGCTTTATCATTAATGGACTTTCCTTCTTAGACTTTCCTTCACTTTTCCTATTCCCTTTTTCATTGTAATGTTTGGGAATATTTTCTACTATTCTAATGCTTAAACACTTTATCTTCTTTCCGATCGCCACTTTTCTATCCTTTTCTCAAGTTTTAAACTTTCCTTCTGATCGCCACTTTTCTTTCTCAAGCTTTACACTTCCTTGTTTCCCCCCTTTTTCACTTTACTGTATGTATGGGAAATATATTTTGCAAGATCGGCTTTAACTTTGCCCTTTGACTTTGAGAAGGTCTCTTTGTTAAAAGAATTAAATTTAAATTTTTGTTAAATTTAAGACATTTTTGGCATTTTTTTTTGAGTAGGTGGAATCGAATTTTAAGGTACTCCCTTTAACCTCTTTTTTTTAAAGATTAGAAAGTAGTTATTTTAACTAGATTCAAAAGGAATTTCATGGGGGCTGGAATAACACACTTCTGGTACTTTATGATAACTCTTTAAAACGTGAGGTAAATTCGCGAAAATATAACAAATAAAATAAATGAAATTTTTAAACGGTACATTCAAAATGGATTAAAATAAATTTACGAAACAAAGCGAAAAATAGTAAAAAAAAATTTTGGGGAGGGGTCTAATCATTCTGAATATATTTCTTTTAAAATTTGTAGGTGTCCCTTTTTGGTTATCGTATTTAATGAAAAAAAACGCGATCAAAAAAAAATTTGTAATAAAATAGAGAAGCATAAAGTAATCGAATTAAAATTTTTTAAAAGATCAGACTTTAATTTCATTTTTTTTTGCGAAAGTAGGGATACACACCAGGAGTGTACAGAAACAAAAAAAAATTTTCAAAATAAAACGCGAAGGACAAAATTAAATTTAAAAAGTGAAATGCGAAATGCGAAAATAGAAAGTAAATTTAAAAACGACACTCGAAACGCGAAAGTCAAAAACCGAAAATCCCCGAAAAACGAAACTGGCACCCTCTGATATTTTATTTTCTGAAAGAGGAATTTTCCAAAAACTATAATTTCTTTTTCGAAAAATTTTCAAAATTTGAATTCTCCGATCGAATAGTCAGTATTTATTTTTAAGTTAAAGTCATCAGAAATCCTGTAAAAACAAAAAAAAATTTGTTGGACCTTGTCTTTAAATATGAAAATTAATTTTGTAAGGTACTAATATAGAGAACTTTCTTTGAAAAACTTGAAAAAGGGGGAAAAAATAAAATTTTGGAATTGGAAAGCAAAACAAACAGTATTTTGATTCTGAGTTTGTGCAATGTGAGGAAGAAAAATGAATGTTTTATAGAAAATCAGAATTTCAGCATCAAAAATCTATTTTTCAGAATTATGTGTCAGAATTTACTACAGAACTAAAAATTAGATTTTTTTAACCCAGAATTTGCAAAAACCCGGAATTTAAATGAATCAGTCTGTCACAATCATAAATTTCCGAAATATAATTACAAGCAGTAGTTTCTGAACAATCTTTTCAAAAATCAAATTGGGAGAATTTTCCGTTGTGGCTGATTTTTAGTATTCCCCTTTTTTTAATTATTAAACTAAAATTACGCTCATTCTCCAACCAAGTGGAATTCCCCCAACAAAAGTGCAGGTAAGTAAAACATTGAGGTCCTGAACATTATGATCCTGAATGGGCACCCAATAAGCATTTTGAACATAATAATAATTGTCACTGTACTGTTCCATAGCATTCGTAAAATAGACTGGCACAAAACACCATTGGATGCCCACATAGTTTTTGCTGCTAAAATCATAGTTTAAAAAAAATCAGAATTAAAAAAATTATAATTTACAAAATCAGAATTTGAGGAAAATCATAATTAAACAAGAAAAAGAGAAATTGTTAAAGGGCAGGAATAGCTCTGTAAATTAAAAATCAGAAAATTCTGAAACAAAAATCAGAAATTCTGATTCTGTTTCGAAAAAAAAATCAGAATTCTAGTACAAAAAAATCAGGGTTTTTAAAGTAAACGGAGATATCAGAAGTTGTTTTGAAGTCAGGTATATTTAAAATGAATTTCAACAGTTAAAATAAGAAATTTTAAAAAATTTTTAGCCCAACAGAATTTTTAAGTATAAATGTAAAAATTTATTTTTGTTTAAAGATTTGTAGACGAATGAATCATTTTTAAAAAGGATTGTGCGGAGATTGTGTTTTCTATTTTGTGTCAGCCCTCCCCCTCCCTTTTTTTTGAAGGAGAGAAAATGTTTCCTTTTGTATATTCTCTTTAGTACCAGACAATGATTAATGGTTGTCCTTTTTTTTGTTGTTGGGAAAATAAAAATGAAAAGGATAAAATTTATCGTGTGTATATCGGTGACAGAATTTTTCTTAATGTTTTAGTAATTTTAATGGGACTGAGACGTTTCGGCTTGGGAAGTTTTGGCGCGAGTTTATAAAACAGTTAGTTGCTTATCAGAAAAGGATAAAACTTTGCAATAATAACTCCCGTGCCTTTATCTATGTTCTCCAAAAATTTCAGAATTTTGATCAAGAATTTCGGAAATTGGCCAAAAATGTTGATTCTCTGAAAAATGCCTAATTTTCGTTTATCGATTATAACTCCAGAAATTTTTTGTTAAAAAAAAATTCTGAAATTTCTGGACCAATAAAAATCAAGTAATTTGATTAAACCAATAAATGTATATAGTTCCTTTTTTTGAAAAAGGTTTCCACCCTTGTCTTTTTTAGAACGGATTTATTTCTCCTCTTTTTTTTTTAGAGAGTAAAGAATTTATTACCATTTTTTGAAGACAGTCTCTTTTTGTTAGATCGAAAATAGATAAAAATAAATTTTTTTTTTTACAATTAAAAATAAAATATTTTCTTAAAATTGGAAGAATTAAAATTAAAGATCAAAGTTTTGCAATGTTAATCTATTGTAGAAATTGAACTAATTGTAGAATTAATAGAAATTAATCGATTATAACTTCAGAGATTTTTGATGAAAAATTCTGGAATTTCTAGAGGAGGTAGTCAAGGTTGTTAAAAAGAGCTTAAAAAAATTTTTTTATGAAATTAGGTCTCTCCTAAGTGCCATTCTTTGTGTTGATATATTTGTTGTTGTTTCTTTTTGAAAAAAATTATATTTTATATTTTCATATATTTTTATATTTCGATTATTTAAGGCCGAAGCCCTAATCATTCCCCACTGCCTCCCGGACCACTCAGCGCGCATTGAGCTGGCCCGGGGGAAGCACGCGAGATAGACCGTCATGCGTTCAGCTTTCGCTGAACCATCCGGTGCTACCAGTAAATAATTTAATTAGGGGGCCCAGCCTAATTAAAGAGAGAAGATGTTGATGGAAACACGTGCGGTGAATAAATGCCAGAGGCAGCGCAAGCAAGCGGGGTGAATGATTGTTGGTATACCACTTGGTCAGGCTCTAGGCCGACCGAACACTAGGCCATTGATTGAATAGGAACTAAGTTGGAATGATCGTCAACTAAGCCGCTTTTCCTTACTTTCCTTTAGCTTAAATGCACCTTCTCTCTAGGCGGGGTTTTTATTATTTTCTCAAGGATTACACCTTTAAGCCTTACAATATGTACATATTTTGTAATTTGTTCACTTATTTTTCACAAATTCAAACAAATTTGCAAACTTAATAAAATACATTGTGAATATTCATTCAGAAACTAAAAAACTTTGGTTGGTTAAAATATATGGTGTTACGACAATTGCGGATACGCACGTGCGGATGCGACAATTGCGGATTAAAAATTTTTTTCTAATTTTAAAAATGATTGAAATGATGTTCCGTTTTTTAGTGCCTGCTGTCAGTTTCCGACTTGTGACGGTTTCCGAATCATTTTTAGACTGATGTGGCACTTAAAACTTTAAAAAATCTTAAACTTTTTAAAAATTTTATATCCGCAATCGTCGCATCCGCACGTGCGTATCCGCAATTGTCGTACCGCCAAATATATATCAGGGGTGTGCCGTTTCGTCTTTCGCCTTTCGTCTTTCGCCTTATTTTCGTCTTTTTTGGTGTTTCGTCTTTCGCCTTTCGTGTTTCGCTTTTTAAAATGACTTTCGCCTTTTCGCCTTTCGTGTTTCGCTTTTTAAAATGACTTTCGCCTTTTCGCCTTTCGTCTTTCGCCTTTTAAAATCTGTTTCGGCACATCCCTGATATATATGTATTAGTTTTAAGTACAAACTAGTTCTGATATTATAAACTACTAATAATTATACTTAAGTTTACAAACTTTAAATTAAATAAACTTGGATTTATTTGCATTTTCTATTCCTTTCCAAGTTTATTTTTTACAACATTTTTCAAGTTTATTTACCGTTTGTAAAACAAGTTTATTTACAGCATGTTTCTTTACAAATTGTAATTTAAAGTTTATTTTCAGGTTTTTTACAAGTTTTCTTTACAATTTGTAATTTGTTTTCTCACAATTTGTAAACTCAACTTTATTTTTTACCAATACACACTTATGCTTATTCTATCATTTAAAAATTAATTTTTATAATTATTTCTATTTTCAACTAATTTTTGCAAAATCTGTCACAGCTACCCTCCAACAACACAAATTCCTTCATTCCTCTCACCTTTAATAGTACACATTTTTTATCACAATTTTTTTTATTTTTTTTCGACTGGCGCGCGATAAAAGTTGCAACCCAAATATTTAATATTTATTATCTAATTAATCGTGAAAAAATTTTTTCTTTAATATTAAAAATAATCAGCAATGAAAAAAATTTATATGGTATTGAATTTTATTTAAAAAATATTTTCATAAAAAATGAAATGCATAAATTTCAAAATAACTGAAAAATCGAAAGAGAAAGCAGAGAATAATGATTCAACTATTAAAATAAAAATTATTCACATAAATATTTTTTTCATTTTTTTGATAACCACAAACAAACAGCTAACATAAATATATTTATCTTTATATATATTTAAACAAACAATGTTGGGGTATATTAAAAATGACCACGTTTCTTTGAAAAAAAGTAGGGGTTGTAAAACATTCTGATTTTTTTCAAGTTAATTTATAAAGTTTACAAACTTGAATTAATAAACTTAGCTTTAAATAAACTTGAATTTAAGCAAGCAAATTTATTTATATCAAGTTTGCAACTTAAGTTTTCTATTTATCTCTTCTTAAGTTTATTTATTCTATTTAAGTTTGTAATCCTAATTTTTTTCTTTTATAATTTACTTTTACAATCTCAAGTTTATTTATTATACTTAAGTTTGTGACTTAAGTTTAAATTTAAGTTTATTTATTGTATTATCAGCTTATTTATCTCAAGTTTGTAATTTTATTTTTTCTACTCTTATATTTTAATGTTGCAATCTCAAGTTTATTTTCGCATTAATTAATTTTATTAAGTTTGTATATTATTTATGTTTTTTTCAATAATTTAATATAATAAATATTTAGCTATTTATTATGGAATAATTTCTGTTGTCTCTAAGCCTGGCTCGATTTAGCTTATATATGGAATAGATAATGTACGAGTCTAGTCAAGTAATAATTTTTTAAATTAAATTTAATAAAAATATTTTTAAAGAAAAATCATTCCTCCTCCTCAAAACGACAGCAAAAACAACAACAATTAAATGGACATACAAATGGTCGAATAGGAAGTGGAAGACGAGTACATGTTGTAGACAACAACATTTATTCCCAACAACATCCTAGTAAAATGGTTGTTGATCATACTTGTAGTAGTTCCCCTCAACAATGTGATTGTTGCCCCTATGGTTACCACATTGATTTGGGGTTTGTAAAATTTGCTGAAGATATTGCTGCGGGGAAAGAACAAATACAGGCACATTTTAATTCGATTTTAACTAAAAATCAGAATTTTTGAAGAATTGGTCAAATGAGGAAAAGAAGCGGAATCGTCGATTGTTGGCATCACCCAGTTCTGACAAAACTATGCTGGACTTATCCGGTTCTGACATTGCAAATATTAGTTCCTCATACCCAGCTAATGATTCAATTCTTAGGTAAAATAAAAAATAATTTTCTGCTAATTTTTACAGTAGTACAAACTTCTCTCCTTATATGGAGGAAGAGGAATTGCCAGAATTATTAGAACAACAAACTCACCAACAATATCAACAACAACCACATTTTAATAATAATTCCAACATATGTTTTAACAGTCAACAACAAAATGGCAACAACAAACACAATTTAACAAATCGCCAAACATCCTCTAATTCTCAACAACAACAATTACAAAGCATTTTAAAGAAAAATGCTGATGTTTGGAAACAAGGAAATATTAGTAATTCGCAAACTCAAGTTTTGAGGAATATAAATCAACAGGTGTTTAAATAAAATAAACATTTTTATAAACTTGAGATTGTAAAACATTGATTGTAAATTAAAGTTTAATTATTTTACAAATTGTAAAATTAAAGTTTTATTATTTTACAAGTTGTAAATTAAAGTTTAGGTATTTTACAAATTGTAAAATTAAAGTTTTATTATCTTACAAATTGTAAATTAAGGTTTAAGTAGGTATTTTGAAATTAACGATAGGCATTTACAATTATTAAAATAGACAACATTTACAATTATTGTTCTACAATCGTATTTTTAAACATTTGTTGAAAAACATTTTACAAATTAAATTTTCAGTTTTCCTCCAAAGAAATGTTAGGACAACATCGCTCACCAAAACAACAACATCAAAGCCGTTTCTATGAAACTCATGTTCAGCAACACAGACAACAACCTTTTTTTCTCTCGAAAATTGAAAATGCCCAATTTATTGATGAGGGAGAAAATAGTTCATCTCCAATAAATAATTTTAGTGCTATGACACCGCTCAGAACTAGCACTCCTAAAGGTTAATAAATTAAACTTACAAACCCCAATAGATAAAAAAATTTTTTTTAATTTTTAAGATTACAAATTCCAAGTTTGTAAAAATATTAACTTATTTTAAGTTAAAATTGCACGCTTAAAATTACAAAACTTATTTCAGCCTTAAATAAATCAACATGTTTTTCAAGTTTACAATTTGCAAACTTACTTTTTTCAAGTTTAAAAAATAAAACTTGTTTTTGTTGTAAATTGTAAACTTTAAATTACAAAACCTATTTCAACTTCAAAATAAATAAAAAAAAATTTAAGTTTATAATATTAAATTAATAATTACACCTTTTTTAAGTAAATTTAGAAACACAATATCGTCTTCCACTACATATAGCCACAAGTGCATTTGATGCCGATGGCTATGGAGGTGCAACATCTTCAGCCCCATCTTCCCCCGCCTCCTCCTTTCAACACCTACCTGCTTATCAAGCAACTATAGCTCATGACTTAGCTCAATTAAAAAAGACACCTTTCAGAGGGGGAGCAGTAATTCCCACAAAAACGTAGCTAAATTCAAATTCTCTTCAAAATCAATTTTTAAATTAATTTTTAGACAGCCCTACACATCTATTGCCTCATTGTCAAGCTCTGCCCGCGGTGCTTTCAACGCCAACATAAATCGCCAACAACATGTTATATCACCAGAGCCAAGAATGCTAATACAAAATCATCAAATTAATGGTAGCCGTCAACTAGCTAATGACACTATGCTTCGCTCCTCAAACTTACAAAGTCGAGCATATTTCCATCAAAATATTGGTGGGGGTGTTGCTTCTTCTCAGAATGATTCTGGTATGTTTTCAAGTTTTAATTATTTATTTATTGTAAAAACAATTGTAAAACAAGTTTTAACTTGTTATATTAAACTTGAATATATTAAACTTGAAATTCAACTTGTTTGAATATTTAAGTTTGCAAACTTTGTCAAACAAGTTGGAAAAATAAAGAAAACTTGAAAATACAAAAAAGTTAGTTAGAAATTGGAAAAATTGTAAAATAAACTTATTTACAATTGTAAAACAAATTATGGTTTATCTCTTTTCGAGTTTATTTATTTTTATATTTAAGTTTGTAATTATACATGGCTTTTACTCTTATATTTTAATATTGCAATTCAAGTTGTAATATTAATTTACCAAATTTTAATTGTAAAACCTGTCTATTTTATTTTACAATTATTTTTAAATTACAACTTTATTAATATTTTCAACAATATTAAGCTGCAACGCGTTTAATACCTTATCGTTCCCGTGGAGGTACAACTCCCTCATTCTCTCAACAGCAAAATGGTAGTTTATCTCATTTGACTCACGGAGGAGGTAGTGTAGCTGGATCAACATTAGAGCTCACCGAATTTGCAAGTGTTCGCCGTCGACGTTTAGAAGCAGATATCGGAGGAGCACGTTCGCCAGTAATGCCATCCGCGCATTTGGTTCGATCTGTTTCCCCGCCAATGGTTTGAAAATGAGAGAAATTTTTTATCAACCTAATGTTTCACCTTTCAATTTAAGCATTTTCCCGCGTCGAAAACAACTCCAATTGGCAGCAATATTCAATCAAACTCTTTTTCCTATTCGTCTGTTAATAATTTGGCTACAGCTTCTCCATCTTCCCAGTTATTAATGAGGTGGAAAAAAATTTTTAATTAAAGAAATTTGTCAAAAAATAATTTTAGAAATTACTCAAATCCATTATCAACCAACTACAATAAAATTATTGAAGAAACACCTGACAACAACATTCAAAACAACCTACAAAAACCTTCAATTTCTTCAAAACATTCTTTTCTGGAGGAAGATGAACTTGACGAAGCGATTCCCAAAACATCAACAAATAAAATAAATAAACTTAACAACAAATCAAACAAAACAACATATAATTCTATTAGTGCAGATTTTGTAAAACAAAAGAACAACAACAACATCCAAACAAAACAAGTTTCTTTTATGAGAAACTTTGGGACTCAAACAATGTTTGCAAAAAAACAGGCTGTTTTAAAGGTTGTTTTTTCAATGTAAACATGTTTGTTTTTATGTGATTTTATAAAAGAGTTGTAATGTTTTTAGAAAAAATAAGTTTACAACTTGTTTAGCTGCTTAAAACTTGTTATAAAAACAAGGTTGAATATAGATGTTTGTGAAACAAGTTTATTTAATTAAAACTTTTTTGTATTTTTATGAGTTGTAAACATGCATATAAACAAGATATAAAAGTATGTTTTTAAGCAAGTTGCAAACTTGTTTCTTAAAAATAAACTTTTAAGAATAGAACTTTGTAAAGTTGTAAAAACAAGTTGTAAACAACAATTCTTAATATGACTTAAACAAATTGTAAACTTGTTTGTAAAAACAAACACTTTCAAAAAACAATTTGTAAAACAAGTTTAATTTTAGGATGTTGGTGTTGCTACGGATTCCAAAACAAATTTACCAAAGAAAACTCGTCTTAAGGAAGCTAGCACCTCTCCAGAGCCTATCATTCCACCAACCTCCAAATTTAAAGAATTGCCATTTACATCATTTATTAAATTCAATTCTATTGGAGTAGACACAACAGAAATAGAAGAACTCGAAGAAGAAATTAAAAATTCCTTTAGAAAGCCTCCCCCGCAACCTCCTCCTAAACCTTCAAGGCCCGATTTAGAGGAAGAATTGAGAAGACGTCGACAGGCTGAAAGATTAGCCTCTTTGGTAACCGAGTTTCAAGTGAGAGAAAATAATGTTTAGGCTAAAAATAAAATTTAAATTTTAAAGTATTGCTTGGGGCACGAACCCGAACACCTTCCCTGTCAAGAACCTCTTCTATTTGATAAAATACAAAGTTGGAAAAATTACTAATTTATTTAACTAATCTCAAACAATTTTTAGAAGTAGATAAAAGTGTGGAAACCATAAATTTACCCATCCCAACGATTAGCAAAACTACTGCAACCACTAGTACAACAGACCTAACTTTTTCCATAAATGTTGGTGTGGGAACATTGCAACCTGAAATGCTTGAAAAATCAATGGAAACAGAAACAATCAGAAAATTGTAAAAACATTTTTAAACTTGAAGATTAAAACAAGGAAATTAAAAATTGAAATAAATCATTGAAAATAAAACTTGAAAATAAACTTTGATTGCAACACAAATAAAAACATGAAAATTAAAACTTGTTTTAAAACTTGAAGAGTAAAACAATAAAACTTGAATTAAAACATTAAAGTTAAAATATGAAAATAAACTTGAATCATAATATTGAGCTTCAAATTTGAAACAAACTTTATTTTTACAATTTAGACAAATTGGTGTACAAACAGAAAAAGAAGAAGCTAAGGAAATTGAAAAATTAATTAATTATGAAGCCGAAAAGAGAATTAAAATTGAAAAAGAAAAATTAAAACTTTTATTGAATGAAATTGGAAGCCAAACTGAAACAGATTGGTTGGAAAGAGAAATTGATATTAAATTGGCTGAAGCTGAAGCAGAAAGGTGGGGGTAATTTTGTAATACAAATTGCACCTTAACACAAGCTTGAATTGTAAAAAAATTAATGCTGGGGAAATAAGAGTTTACAAACTTAAAAATAAAACATAGTACATTAGAATTGAAATTGGCTGGAAAAAGGAAATTTAGTTAAGCTCGTACTTGAAAACAATTATAATGACATAAACTTACTTGAAATATAAAAAAAATAAACTTAAAAACACAAACTCGAACATAAACAAAATTTAAAAAACCTGAGAAATAAACTTGAAATACAAACTTGAAAACAAACTTAAACAAACAGAGACTTAAAAATAAACAAACTGAAATAAATAATCAACTTGAAAACACGCAAACTTGATAAAACACAAATCAAGCACAAACTTAAACACAAACTTAAAAATAAACTTGAAAACAAACTTGAAAAACACAAACTTAACGAACACAAACTTAAAAATAAACTTGAAAAACAAATCAAATAAATTGTAAACTTGAATAAACTTGAAGTTTTTTTTCTACAGAAAGGAAAAACGTAAGCGTTTAAGTATTGAACGGAGTACAGAAACAGACGACGAAGAATCCCCTGACCAATTCATTATGATAACTTGTAATAAATGTGAACAACGTTCTTCAATTGCTACAGACGAAGTTTTCGAGAAAATTGTTGATGAAACAATTTTACAAGTTAGCGATGTTGTTCAGCAACAAAATAACAAACAACAATTATTTTCTGAACATTCTTCTGGGGAAATTTTGGAAGTATTACAAGAAGAGCCTGAACTTGCATTAGCTACTAGCAGTAGAAATGAAGGAAATGATAGGGGAAATGAAAGAAGAAGCAAATTTATTAATACAAGCATTCCAAACTTTGAGGAAGTTGATATTGAAAGGGAAAAACGAAGCTATTCTGAGCCTGTTAGTGTTGTTGTACAAGAGCTTAAAGATCCAATTACTGAAGATTTTAAAGATATTCCTTCAACTATCCCTATAGTTCATTCCTTGCATCGAAACTGCAATGAGCTTTGTAGTGTGGACATGACTGATTTTGTTTCGATTTTCACTAAAGATGGAAACAAAGAAGACAATAATGAATTTGTTGAATTTATACCAAAAATTGAGGAAACCAAAACATTTAAATATTATCTAAAAACAACGGCAAACAAAACAAAATTGTTGTCAAAATCAAGTGAATTTCCAAGCATTTCATTGTTGAATGAAGATATAGTGTTTTTAAATAAGAAGGAGAAAACAACACAAAATGAACAACAAAAACATTTAGAACAAAAACATTCTGAAGAGTCGGAACAACAGTTAACTCAAGAAAAACATTTAGAAAACACCCAACTTTTAGAAAAACAATTAGACGAACATTTGAATCAAGAACAACAAAAACAAATAATTTCAGAAGTTTCTCAACAACATTTACAACATAAGGAAAAACATTCTGAACAAAAACAACTAGAAAACATCCAACAACCTTTACACGAACATTTAAATTCTGAACATTTTTCTGAACAACAAAATGCTAAACAAACGAATTTAGAAATCTCTCAACAACATTTAGAACGAGAGAAACATTGTGAAAAACATTCCGAACATTCTCAGTTAACTCAAGAAAAACATTTAGAAAACACCAAACATTTACAACAAAAACAATCTGAACAAACAAATCAACAACAAATTCAAAAACATGTTGTTTCTTCTTCTCCAATGAGTTCTGATGAGGGATTAGCAGAAGAAGAAGAAGAAATGTTTGACGAGTTTGGAGGACAAGAAATAGATTTACAATTACCGTTGGATATTGATGCTGATAGATTTTCGATTGACACGGATGTTCAGACTGTAATTTATGTAGAACAAGATGGTGGAATCTCTGGTTACCCCCAAACACGTTCCAGTTCTTCTGATTCAACAAAAACTCCAAACACAATTATTGGGGATAATTCAACTACAAATACTGCAAACATTGCTGCAGCTGCTGGTAAAAATGAACTAATTTTTGTTTTGAATTTTAATTTTATTCAGCAGCAGCAGCTGCAACAGCACGTACTGATGCATTGCGTAAGCTATTAACGGAACCACCCCGTAATAGCGCTGCAACTTCATCATTTTTCCAACGTGCAGCAGATTCTAATCGTTCATATAGGTACTGCATGTTTTTATACTATTTTTACAATTTGTAATACTAATTCAACTTATAAACTTATTTTACAAATAGTAAATTTAAATTGAACTTGCAAGTTGGATTGTAATTTTAATTAAAGTTTATTTTACAATTTGTAAATTTTTTTCAACTTACAAACCTAAAAACTTTAAAAGTTTACAAATTGTAAACTTTTGATTTAGGTTTATTTTTGTTTGAAGTTTAATTAAGGTTTATTTTACAAATTGTAATTTTTTTCAACTTTTTTACAATTTGTAAAAAGCTGTAAGTTGGATCTATTAATGTTTATTTAAAAAAGATATTTCCCTGTTAGTACCTTTAAAAATAAACTTTAATTTATTTACAATTTGTAAAACGTTTTTTACAATTCTACAATTTGTAAAAATAAATTAGGATTGAAATTGTAAAACTTTCTCTTGTATTTTATAGAACAGACAAAAGCCGTGCTCAACAATTACAATTAGAATATATTGCTGATAGACACAAATCAACAGATGCCCATAATATTTGTTCAGAGCCGTCAACTCCAACAACATCACAAACAGTTTTAGGGGAACAAGAAACTACTAGGCAATTAAAAATTAAATTTTTTTTTAATTTTCCTCTTAATTTTTTTCAGAAAAGCCTTAAAAGAAACTATAAACCTAAAGAAAAATGTTGTTTCTTCTTCATCCTCCCCTTCAACTTCAACATCTCCCCCAGACCCAATTCCTGCAAGAATTCCACGTCCAAAAATTGCTCGTTATTCTCCAAATGTAGCACATGCAGAAACGCCTGATGAGGAAGCTGAAGCCGCGGATAGATTAACACCTTTAAGATCGGAAATGCGTTCGCTTTCTTCTGGAGGCTGGGGAGGAGGGTCTTCTAGTCCGAGGTGACTTATTGTATATTGAATATTTGACTCTCTAACAGTGAGGCAACCTCTATATAGAAGGGCATTTATGTATCACTAACATTTATTAGCAGGGCTTTTGCTCAATACGTTAGCAAGTGTTCTACCGACTTAGCTGATGGTGGCGCTGTTTTTCCCTTCTCTTTTAATAGACCCTTAAACCCCCGCCTATTAAGTTCTTAAATGGTGCCAGCCGCATCTCTCTTCCTTTAATTACCATTCATTTTTTCAGAATGTCTCAAAGATCGCTCATATTTCGCACACATGTAGGCGATACTCTTGAAGAGGAAGACGATGAATATTTGGATAATAATTTCCAAGGAGGGCTTTTGGATAGTGATAGATTAAAACAACACAACAGGCATCATTTACCTATTTTATCAGCAGATAATATTGTTGATGAAGATGTTTCTCCCTCCTCTCCTTCTTCCTCTTCTAATTCCGACGGGGGAAGGTTGGGGAGAATTTTGGCTATGAAAATAATTAAAAATCCAATTTTAGAACATATGAAATGAGTGAAGAGGAAAGCTCTGAATTTTTCGAGTTAAGTGCCCCGTTACAAGACGCACTCGAAACAATTAACGATCACTTAATGCAAGAGGCAATGAAAACATCATTAAAAATGGGGGAGAAAAGTGAAAAACAACAACAAGAACAACAACCAAAAAACAATCAACTTGAATGGGCTTATAAAGTAAACATGTTTTCAAAATTTAATAAACATGTTCGAATGGGAGTGTTTTTAAAATAATAAACATATTTTGATAAACATTTTTGCAATTTAATAAACATGTTTAAATTAGAATGTTTTTCAACCAATAAAAACATGTTTAAAGAAACATGTTTTAAAAAAACTTTTTTAAATGAGCATGTTTTTAAAATTTAATAAACATGTTCGAATGGGGGTGTTTTTAAAAAATAAACTTGTTTTGATAAACATTTTTGACATTTATTAAACATGTTTAAATTAACATGTTTTTCATCTAATAAAAACATGTTTAGAGAAACATGTTTTAAAAAAACTTTTTTAAATGAGCATGTTTTTAAAATTTAATAAACATGTTCGAATGGGGGTGTTTTTAAAAAATAAACTTGTTTTGATAAACATTTTTGACATTTATTAAACATGTTTAAATTAACATGTTTTTCATCTAATAAAAACATGTTTAGAGAAACATGTTTTAAAAAAACTTTTAAATGAACATGTTTTACAATTTAATAATTTATCCATCGATAATTTACAATTTAATAAACTTGTTCAAACTAAAATGTTTTTATCGAAATAAAACATGTTTAACTTAAAAGTTTATTTTTATTTTTTAAGTATGCACAACATGAGTGGCTTAAAATGGCAACAAAAAAGAACACGAATGCCGAGGCTGTCGAACAATTCATTGATGCCCTCGAGTCTTACTCTACACAATTAATGGATACGGTAATGAGGAATATTTGTTGACCAACCACATTTTTCTCCAATTTTTAGGTAATTAACATAACTGACCAAAACGGAAATACAGCCCTCCATTATGCTGTTTCTAACGAAAATTTTGATGTAATATCTGTCCTTCTTGACTCTAAAGTTTGTCGAATTGATCAAATGAACACTGCTGGATATTCAACTTTAATGTTGGGTGCTTTGTGTGAATTGAGGAATGAAACAGAGTCTGCTATTATGCAAAGATTGTTTCATATGGGGAATGTTAATGCTAAAGCTGTTAAGGTGTTTTGATTCTCTTTCGATTTTTCAATAAATTACGTCAAGTTCAAGCAGTACTAGTAGTTGAACACGGTCATATACTGCTCGAACTTCTGTTTTTTATTTTTATTTTATTTTTCAAGAAATAAACAAAAAAATAATTACCTCAAGTTCAAGCTGTAAATGTCCATGTTCATCTACTTGTACTGCTTGAAGATGTGTTTTTTCTAATTTAAATAATCTTTTTACTTTGAAAAATCAAAATAATGTTTAAAAATTTTCCATTGTCCTTAAGCACGCTCAAACCGCCCTAATGTTAGCTGCTTCACATGGACGTATTGAAGCAACAAATTTATTGCTTAAATGTGGGGCTGATGTTAACATTCAAGTAGAGTGTTTTTAACAAATTTTAAAAATAAAATTAAAATATTTTAAGGATGTAGACGGTTCCACAGCATTAATGTGTGCTGCAGAACATGGACAAAAAGAAATTGTTAAAATTTTGTTAAAACAGCCAAATATAGATGCTTCACTTAATGACTGCGTAAATCTAAAACTTGAAACAAAAATTAAATTTAAAAATTTCTCTTTAAGGACAACCAAACAGCACTTTCTATAGCCGTCGAAAATCATTATAGAGATATTGGCGTTTTAATTTATGCACACTTAAATTTTAGTAGATCAACTGAAGTTGCTTCTACTTCTAATTCAAGTTCAACTTTAACAACACAGACTTGACGAGTTCTTAGAATATTTATAGAATTTTATTAATAAAGTTTATAATATATTTTTAAGTTTACAAACTTGAAAACTTGCCTTATATTTTGTTTGTTTTGATTCGTTTTCCTTCTATAATTGTAAAAACATTTATTTATGTTTATGCCTTGTTTTGCCTTTTCACAACTTGTTTCAAACTTTATCTATGTTTTTCAAACTTTTTTTACAACACAAACTTTGTTTACCAACTTTGTTTTGTAAAACAAGTTGTAAAAGTTTGTTATGAAAATAAGTTGGAAAAACAGATAACAAACTTTCCAACTTTGTTTCCAACATTTCTATTTTCCAACTTTTTTAAATTTTCCAACTTGTTTTTACAACCTTTTTTATTATTCCAACTTTTTACCGAACAAATAAACTAAACATTGCAAAACATCAAAGAAATATTTTATTTTATCCAAACATTTACTTATATTTTTATTGCATAATTTAAACAAAACATATTTTATAAATGTTCTATACATAAATGTTTCAAGTTTCAATTATTATTATGTTTTACTAATTTTTATTCTTGTCAAGTTTCTTGACCTAAACATTCAAGAAAATATAGTTTTCACAGCAGGAAGTTTTTCTCTCCCAAAATTACCCAGTTAATTGAATGTCTGTGATCAATTTACCAACAAACCTCCCTTTAAATATGTTGCATTCCCAAATTATTTATTAGCAATATACACTTTAATTTCAACAAAAAAACAAAAAAATATTTTCTATTAACTATTCAACAACCTAAAAATATTCTTTAGTTTTTTTTTTGTTTTTACAACCTATAATCGGGCAATTTGAATAAGAATGAAAAAAATCTACATCCCCTCCAAGTAAAAAATATAAAAAATTTTTCCTTTCACTTTTATTTATTCTTAAAATATTAGCCAGCATTCGCACGCACTTAACCTTTCCTTATACCTTCTAAAAAAATAAAATAACGATCAGAGCCTATTCAAATTCAAATTTTGTTAGAAGCTTTGAATACATAAAAATGTCAAAAATAAACCTTTTGTTTTTATATAATATACAACTTGAATATAAAAACATAAATATAAACATATTAAAATATTTAAAACATCAAGTTGAGCATAAATATATTCAAAAACATTGTTTTAAGTACTTAAGTTTATTAATAAAAAAGAATTAAAACATCTTAAAAACAAGTTCGAAATCATAAAAACATTAATAATGTTTTGAACAACATGTTTTTGAGAGTTTTCCTGCCTTTCTAGTTTTAAAACTTGTTTGTAAAACAAGTTTGTTTATTAATTTTTTAAACTTGTTTCTAAACAAGTTTATATATTTTCAATGTTTTCCAACTTTTTTTACAACTTGTTTTCCTTATTTGTTTTTATTTTACAAATGTCTGTAAAACATCCTCTTCCTCTTCATAATTCTTTATTTTAAAACCTAGTAAAAACATCAATTTAAAATTACAATTTAATATTATTTTATTTTCCCTCAATATTCCTCCTAAACCAACTTCCTTTTAAAACCTCCATTTAAGGACTAAAAAAACATTTTTTAGTTTTTTGTCCTTTCCCATACAAAATTGAGAGAAGTAAAAAAACTAAGGATGCTTTACTGCTGTGAGCTCATTTTTGTTTGTAAAGCGATTTACCTTTTTCTACTTTTATTTTCCCTCACTTGGTAAAAACTACATCCGTGACGACCATCTATACCCCCATCAATCCATCAATTTATTTCTTTTCTATATTTGCCCATTATATTCCTGAATTTACTAAAAATCGCCTCAATGCCATTTAAACAAAAACTAAGAAAATTAAATGACTTTAAACACAAGTTCAAGCAGTACAAGTAGCTGAACACGTACATGTACTGCTTGAACTTCTTGTTCATTTGGATTTTTAATCCATACACTTTAAGCACATGTTCAAGCAGTACAAATCCGATTGAACACGCTTTTTGGATCAACAAGTTCAAGCAGTACAAACACATTTAGGAAGTTCATTTTCTTGTAATGCTTGAACTCTGTGAATAAATGTTTTTATTTAAGCTAAATTCATATTTTAATTATTTTTTACCCATAATTCTCTCAATTTATTATTCTTAATTATTCCAAAAATGTCAAAACCTTTTTAGATTACTTAAAAAGAGTCCTAGGCTTTATAGCGTCCTTTCCCCCTTCATTTTCTTCACAACCACAAAATTAAAAAATTTTTTTTCAAATTCAATAAATTCTTATTTAATGATAAACCTTTCATGCATAGTCATACTTTTCCTCACATTTTTTTCACTTTTCTTACCTTTTTTCACTATTCACTCACATCATTTTTATTTATTACTGTATTTTTGGACTGACTGATTTTGAAGCATTTTTAAACTTTTTTTAATAAAAAGGATATTATCTTTTACCCAGAATATCATTAAAACGGGTTTTTATTAATTATTTAAAAATTCTCAAAACTCCAGTAATTGACCACAATTTCAACTCTAACCAGTCTATCGTCAACTTATACTCTTTAACTTAAAATTCTGATTATCTCATAGATTGTTTTATAGGTCATTCTATATTCTTCAATAATGTAGATAGTCGAACCCTCACTTTAAGATACAGAAAATTTTTTAAGATACTAACTTCAGTATATTAATTTGGGTGTTCATCAACTAGTCAAGGAAGTTGTGTCTAAGCTACATATATCCTTTATCTAAGATATACCTCATTTAAGACACTTTTTCAGCCTTAAAGGAGTATATTATATTGAGTCTTTATAGTCTTTATAGTGAGTGTATTATACATACTCATAAGTTCAAGCAGTACACCCAGTAGATGAACAACTCCAAGCACTGCTTGAACTCGTGTTCTTTGTAATTTACTTCCTGAACATTTAAACATCTAATCCTACTATTCTCTCGTTTATATAAACATTTTTGAGGGTAAATATCAATTTTAAAGAAAAAATTGTAAAATCGGGAAGAAAACCCCCCAACATTTTTAAAGGACATTTTCTGTAGTACAGTGCTACTTGGTGTCATCATAAATAAATAAAAATGTTTTTTGTTGTTTGCTATAAAAATAAATAAACTTTTTTTAAATTAGCTCTTCCTTCTAATAGCAATTAAATTTATCGCATTTACTACTATTAAATACTTTTTTTATTGTTGACTTAAAGGATTGAAATTTTGTTTGTTGGGGTAGTTTAAAGGGGGAAAATGTTTGCGCGAATAATGTTGTTCTTCTCTCTTTCCTTTTATTCTATTAAATTTATACCTTCAATAAATTTTTGAGGGAAAATTGTTTGAGGTTATATGTATATACCTGCATTAATCCAGAACCACTATAGTTCGATATACTCGTAAAGTCCAAGCAGTATATGTAGATGAACATGTTTGCATGTACTGCTTGAACTTGAGCCTTTCTTTTTGATTTTCCCCTTGAGGTTGTACAATCATGCCCTTTCAATAGGCAGAAAGATGTTCAAACAGTACATTTTGTAGATGAACAAGTTCATGTACTGCTTGAACTTCTTTTTCTCTTTAATTTTATGTTTAGAAATGTCTACTCCTTTCATTTCAATAGACAGAAAAAAATTTAGGCATTACGTCCTGTAGATGAGCATTAACTTTCCATTTAGACCATGTCCCATTACTTCCTGTTACTTCCTGTTAGCCCGAAATCCGGTTAGCTCGAATTTCGAAATCTAAGTGTTAAACAAACTACGGTACCCCCAATTTCCCGTTTCCTGGTTCATTCACAACTCCCTCTCAAACACTCTTCCTTTAAAGAAAATTATTTCTAAAAAAGATCACTCACTCTTTTCATGCCATTCATAAAAGAATGAATACAATGAAATAGTAGCAGTCAAAGGAAGAAAAAGAAGTTTTTATAAAAATACAAAAATGTGAAAAGGATGAGGGAGTTTTAGTTAAGAGGTGGTTAAAAAAGGGTGAATAATGGGTGGCGCATTAAAAAGGAATTTTTAGGGGTAATAGAAAAAACGGAAGAAGCAACGATCCGGAAAGTACAAAAGAGAGAGAAGAAGAAAAGGAGAGAGAGACGAAAAAAAGTTTTAAGAAAAAGTTGGAAAAAAGTTTTGGGGAGAAAAGTTTTGGGGAGAAAAGTTGGGGGAGAAAAGTTGGGGTTTTTACAATTCTTGAAAAGGCTTTTATTTATTTATTTTTAACTGCTTCTCTTTTTTCTTTTTATTCATTGCCCCCATTTGTTCATGTTTTTCTTTTATTTTTTGTTTGCTTCACTTGTTTAGATGTTTGTGTGTTTTTGGGGAGAGATGCTCCTCATTTTTAGCCTTTTTTCCTTCCTCAAGCATTTTTTCTTCTTTATTTTTTCTAAATTCTCTCAATAAATTCCTCATAAAATCTATTTTTTATTTTATTTATTATTTAGTTTTGTATAAGCAAACCACGCCTTTCCAAAGCAAATAGTAGCTAAGCACTTTATAATCGTCAAGACGACCTGGCGCTCTAAGAGTTATTGGCGCGCATAATTATAAAATTATCAAATTAAAACCTATACAATTAAAAATTTTGCACATATGTCCTCAATACTTTTATCCAGCTCTTCTGAAAATATCAGAATTTTTGGTTTAATATTTCACAATTTATGATCGAAAATGTATGTATTTTCCTTATATTTATCGATATTTTAGACCATAACTTTTGAAATACTAAACCAAAAATTCTGAAATTTTTAGAGGACCTAGAGAACACAAAAAAGAATATTTCTGCAAAATTTCACCTTCCTAGATAAATCCTAGACAAAATTACACCTCTCCGCGCCCTAGCGTTTCTACGCCCAAATACCCCTTTCCAAACACTTTTCTTCATTCAGTAGCCAATAAAACAAAATTCCTCCTCCTTTTTCCTTTTATGATTTTTCCTCTTTTTTACTCACTTATTCACTCACTCACACACAATAACTTTAATAAAAAAAGAGTTTTTAAACTCCACCCAATTTTCTATACTTTTTAAAGGAACCGCCCTCTTTTCTCACTCGT